TCACAGAAGGAGATCAGGTCAGTCAAGCAGGACCTGCCTTTCATAAACCCGTGCTGACGGGAGTGCTTGGGCACAGATTTGCTGTAGAACTGGGGGACCTGGGGAGGGAGGAGCTGCGTTCACATAGGTGAAGTATGTGGATAGGACAGATTGAAGCCCCAAAGGATTTTATGTTAACTTAACTTTGTTTACCACCACTGTAATACTGCTGGAGTGCCTCTGGACTGCAGGTAAGCGAGAGATGGCTTGCTTACAGGTTATGCCTTTTTTCACAGGAGCAGTAACTCAGGTGATACATGGATCATCACAGAGTGTCCTGTTGGGCTACAGCTTCGGGAGATGTGGTCACCCTGCGTAAGAGCTGACTGTCACCAAAAAGGGGAGGCCTCTCCTGCTATTTTCTCCACTTTCTTTCCCCACTCTCATCGGTGTGCTCCAACTCCTTACCTCATGCCACCCTCCCTCCAGCACCTGAGGGACCCCTCTAGGCAAGCAAATTTAAGTTACTGAGCTGGCAAAAAATTAACCCAGTGGAAAACTGGATCATATTCTGCTGGGGCAAGAAAGGCTTAGGAGCATATGATGGGAATCAGGGAGGGTAAGAAAAGGCAGGGGAGGAGGAAGAGCAAGCCTTCCCCTTTTGGCATGAGGGAGCTGTTAACATTGAGAGCTGCTTGTGAAACTGCAGCCTTAGGGCAGGCTACATAGTTTCAGGATTGAGCTCTTGATCCCAGGCTCAATCTCAGCGGTCCTGCTAGCAGGCAGACCTTGCAGCCCCGTTGGATGTGCTGACACGCTCCCAACCTGCCCTACTGCTTATCAGGCAGCTCATCTGAGCAAGGAAGCGGTGACTGAGCTGCTCAAACCCCTCAGCTGTAGTTAACCCTGCAAGCACTCCCAGTGCAGCAGAAGAATGCCTCAGACAGGTTAGCTAAGGCCACATGTGAAGCTGATTTAAACTAGTGGTTCTCTAATCACTAAATATATAGATCCTTTAAGCTGAGACAGCATGGAGCCCTGATTTCCATCCATTCCACAGATTTGAAAAGCCCCTCTGCCCTCGTCCAGGGAGAGGCTGATTTTTGTGTCTCTGGTAGAAAGAAAGAGACAGAAAAGTTGGATCCCTCAGAGGAAGAGATGTTTGCCAATGAAGAACCACTGGCTGTTGCGGCTGCTGGTGCATTTGGCAGATTTTTCCTTTTCTTCTATTGGAATGAAAATAAATAAATAAATAAATAAACCACAACACCCCAAACATGGCTGGGATGTCCTACAGCAGATTGGCTGCAGGAGTTTTTTGGCTGGCTGGCAAGAAGCACCACTAAGCTATTGTGGGGAGGGGATCCAGCACGTATGCCCGAGGTGTGTGGCAAGCCCCCAGGGAGATTCTCTTGGGTTTTTTTATACCTTTCTCTTTCTTCTTCATTGCCCTGAGCGTTCTAAGGCTGTTTTTATCCAGCTGGCATCCTGGGATGAGAACCACAGCGTGTGGCTCAGGGTGCCTGTGTGTGATGGTGACTTGGGGAATGAATGCTTCCTCTTTTCTTTTTTTTTTTTTTTTGTAGGGCGATGGTGCCTTGAGCTGAAGTGGCCTGGGGAGAGCACGGTGTGCTTGCTCGTGAGCACCATGTGCAGGGCTAAAAGTTCTCTTCGTGGCAGGTCTAAGTCATTAGCATGGGCCAGGTACCTATAGGAGCTGTAGGTGAAAGAGGCAGTTCCCCTGTGAAATCCCTGTGTAGATGGCATGTGGGACAACAGGGACTGGAGTTAAAGGGATTCACAGGGGATCTAGCGAAGAAAGCAGGGGGCCCATGGGAGGAAACTGGAGTAGGGCTTTGGTTTGGTTTGGTTTGGTTGGGTGTTTTTCTTTTTGCAGGGAGGCAGGAAAAAAAAAACTGGGCTGGGACTTTGCTCGTAGGCTGAATGTGAGATGTTTTCAGGAGATGGGGGGAGAGGGATAAAAAGGATGGTAGATAGCTACACCTGGAGGGAAGGCTGGTGGTTGGTTTGCAGAGATTTGGGCTCAGGCCAGACTGGATGTATCTGTAGGTGAGCAGTGCATACAGAGGGGTCCAGACAATTACAGAAAAAGGGAAGGGGGCCGTTGTCTGAAACTTTTGGGAACTGCTGAGCTAAGCAAGCTGCTCCATTCTCTTGACTTGAAGGGCTGAACAGTTGACTGCTAGATCTCAGTTGGAAATGGCAACTTGCAGCAGGGAGGAAGTAAGGAGAAGCTTTCTAAACCACATCTGGGGAGTAATTCTTGAAAATGGAGCCTTTTTCTAATCTCTGTAATGGCCAGTCTGGGCCTTGGGGTGATTGCCCTCTGCAGCAATCAGCATGCTGATGTCTGAAGCGTGTTACTCGGTGCCGTATTGACAGGACCTTGTTGACCTGCCCGGGGTCACCAGTGCTTTATTGACGTTTTCTTGACACCAGCTCCTGTAGAGTTGTAGTCTGTCCTCCATAGCCCATTCTGCTAAGTCTCGTAAACTGCGCTGTTACATGTCTTGGTTTCTAAACAAAGCATTAATCCTTCTGTTCTGTGTGAAATATATGCCATGGGATAGTTTCTCTGCATTCATAGAACCCTATTTTTCTATTTGAAATTTTCAGGTTTTCTAAGACTATTTGCCAAGAGTGGACATAATAAATTACACCTTAAAATCTTGGTCTTTATGATCTGGCACTAAGACAGCTAAGGTCACAGATGGCTCATGGTGACTGAAGGCCTCACAGATAAAAAGACCAGTACCTTGCATGGACTCCAAGAGAGAACAGAGAAGAAGTGGATGTTCTGGAGCACGTATGTAATATGTCCTGTTTTGAGCAGGGGGACTGGACTAGACAATCTCTAGAGGTCCCCTCCAACTTCGACTGCTATGGGATTCTGAACTAGGAAGAAAGTTTTCTGTAAGAGGTATCTGCAGCCTTTCTGACTTGTAATTTCATTTTCATTGTACTCCATCTTTCTACTAACTAACCATTTTCTCCCATCTCTAACATTTCATATCCCTGTTGCTGTCTAGATACTCAGATTGCCTGAAAAGCCAAATAAAGACCCTCTGAATTCCCACTGGTTTGAACAGAGGGCACATTCTGGATTTTGGCTCGCTGGTGAAACTCTGTAAAGATATTACACAGCAAAAATGTTGATGGCCCTTCTTGCTGGCTTGTGTGTCCCCTGCAAGAACCAAGGTAAGTGTCTCTGTTAAATGTTTCGGAAAATCTGACTGGGAAAGCTTGAAGATATCCATAGTAAAATTTGATTGTTCCCACTTTGCACACTGTGCTTTGAACAACACATTCTCCCTAATGGAGTGTAAGGAAGAACACTACTTTTGGGGAAATAAAACCCAATTTTATAGACGTTTGATAGACATAGCTTTAAAGAGAAATGTCTCATGGGGATTTGTATATCGGATTGGAATGAAATAAATGAAATAAGACAGTGCAAAGAGACAGAAATTCTGCCATTAATCATGTTACTTTTATTTAAACAGTAAGGTGTGCTTTTAATGTAAGTGGTTTTATTTTTATTAATACTTGATGCTGAGTTTTGAACAGTACTGTACCCAAACAATTTTACAAATATAATGTTCAATACACTGTTTATTGCTTATTGTTTTTGTATGAACATGAAAACTGGAAATGAATGTAAGAATAAATAAGGCACCCTACTAATATGCTGATTTCATGTATTGTAGTAACATGCACAAAATTTCATTTTGCCTTTACAAGTCACTTTTCTCATTTTCCTCCTTAGAGAAAAAGTAAGTTAGACTTTGTTATTTGGGCAAGTGCCAATGCTTGTCCAAAAAAGTGAGAACTTGAAAGCACTTTCTAATTTTTTAATTTAACCTTCCACCTTACAAAACTAGCTTTCGTATAGCATGTCCCAATTTCTTTTTCTAAAGACAAAAAGTATTTTTGTTCTTCCTTTGCCGTTACTAGGAAACGTGCCTTGCAAGAGGACTGTTCACGTACTGCTTGAGACAAAAGACCTGACTTGCTTTCTTTATCCAGGTTTTCTTCTTGTACTGACCCCACTCAAAAGATAAAAATAAAAATGCAAAGGCATCTTTAATAACTTATCTTGTGTGGCTGGGCCCAAATCAGTGATCAGCACGAGGTGGGAGCTCCGCAGAAGCCTTTTCTTTTTTTCAATTTCAGTATGCCCTAAATTAGGACTTCCCAACAGTTTCAAGATACACTCTGTCCAACGGTCCTTTTTCTCAAAGGCCCACGTTGGCTCTCGCTCTGTGTCAGCACCGAGGAGAACCGCGATGCCTCGGTCAGCCTCACAGGCTCCTAAGCCGCTAGGGCAAAATCAGTTTGCAAAGGCTTCAACCATTTGACAACCTTTTGCCGAAGTGCGGACAAATTATCAAAGAAACGAACCAGAGAGATGGGCTCTGACCCCCACCCCAGCTCCCACCTCTCCTTTAAATTTGTTACTTTCTTTTTAGAAATTATCTGAAACAATCGCAGAGACAAAAGGCTCAGATTTTTTTTGTTTTTTAATTTAAAGCAGATTATATCAGAATTTCCTGACGTTCTAATGTTTATTCTTTAAAACTGAAATGTTCTTGCAGGGTAATATAAACATAACGGATAGAATTGTCGAGTTTAGCAGTTCTATGAAGTATGTATTACATATATGAAAACACCCAGCTTTACATGACCTTTGAAATTCAAGACATCTTTTAATTACATAAGTTATTACAGTACTGTTTTAAAGGAATCTTTTGGTTATATGTAAACACTATAAATTAGCTGTTTAAAAAATAATCATATAAGACAAGTATAGCATTGACATAGTTTAAAAAACAATAACTAGCCCTAAATCTGAATACTCTCAGGGTAGAACAGCGAAAGCAGATATCAATCTAAGGCTATGCAATAACATGCTGAAATTCTGACTTATTTGAAGAACCAGTGCTTCTTTGTGTTCCCTCCTTCTTTTGTTCTCATATGTTAAGATTTTCACCATCAGTGCCCTAAGGAATGGGCCGCCTTGTACTTAACTAAGTGTGACGGGATAATATATGCTACTTTGAGTGTTGCCATTCTAATATTAAAAGCCATCTAAATTAAGCTTCCTAAATATGTACTGGTTTAAATTAAAATCCTGAGGAATTATACTCTGTTTACTTGATGGTTTTCGTTAAGTGCAGTTTGATGTATGCAGAATGCTGTTTCATTTAAGGTCATTCTTAGTAAGGCATATTAAAAATAAATATAAAAGTGACAACATAATATTTAGTTTCTTGCTACAAAATCTTAGGCAAAAAAATATTTTTGCATGTAGTAATGGACTTTATCCATTTGCTGGCTTACAGGAGTTAAAATTTGTGCATTAAGCTTAACTGCCCTTGTCAGAACGTGCCACCGTGCTGTAATAGTGGTCCAAGGCTACATGCTAAAGATTTTGTTTCCATGCTCAAACACAGCTTGCACAAACTGCTTGAAGACTCTGTCCATGTAAGTGCACTTCCTCGGCCAAAGTCCTTCCAGGAAACCAATGTGGCCTCCGCACGAAGTCAGAACCAAAGCAACGTTTGCATTTTGTTTGGCAGCTTCTACTGGTATAGCTAAAAAGGAGGGGAAAAAGGTTTTAAGTCCTTATACTTCTATGAAATGCCAGCCACCAACTAATTTCTCTTAAACATTTCTCATATTGTATATGAATAAGTACACACAACGTCAACATATGCTTAAATGTACCGCAGGATGTGGAACCGTAGCTGTGTTAAAAGCTGTTTCTCTCTTCATCATTAACTCGCCTTATCTGTGTCATTTTGCTGACTGCTGTAAAAGTTTCAGAAATCACTGGGCTTCATCTTTCTTTCAGTCCCACTGATGGAACAGCACCCATGTTAATGCACGCTTAGGATTTGGTGTACATAGCGTAAGTGAAAGGACAACCAAGCCTGTCGTTTTTAACCTGTGTTGCAATATTCAACTTTGGAAAAACTGAGGAATTGGGACCTTAATTGTGAATCCCATTCTTTTTGTAGGAGGCTCCAAACACAAAGCCTTTAATGTCTCAATAAGATTTTGTCTGTAAGATATCCTATCAGCTAATATTAAAGATTATCTTATCATCATTACATCTGATTTTCCATATGTTTACACCTGCCCATTTTGACTGCACCATGCAAACACACGGGGAGACGGTGCCTGCCCTGCGGAGCTCGTCATCTAAATACGCGAGGCAAACAACTGCACAAGGACACAGAAAGCTGCCCCGTGTCACCCAGTGGCTTAGTGGCTCTCTACTGAACAGTGACTGCTAGAAAATGATTTAATTCGGAATTTAGATTATTAGACCAGATACTACAAGGATTTTTCTGTTGCTGGGTTAGTTTTGAGCTGGGTCAGCACCCTGATGCGTTCATGCCAAAGATGGGTGGTGGCAGGCACAGCCAGGTGAGGACTGCGATGAAGTGGCCCTTTCAGCGACAGCCCACAGTTAGCTTAAAGTCGTTGGTGAACTACACCCGAGACATGTGCTGATCTGGAAATGTGCAGAAAGGGAGACGTCAGCGCATCTTATTTTGAATATGCGTAGGGTGTGTGGCTCAATCAACGCTGTCCTCTGGGCAGTTCCCTTTGTGAAAGAAAACAAAGGTCAGTTAGCGCGGTCTGACCTGCACGTGACTTTACGAATGGTACTTCAGTGTGATGGGATGACACGATGATCATACGAACTGACTGGCACACCAGCGGAGCTTTATGGAGCTGTGGTGTTTGTGCTCTTGATATAAAGATTAAGTTACTTAAGCAACTTCTCTGGAGTTTTAAGTATGCTAAAGGTACTCCTGAACAAAGAGAAATCTCGTATGTTTCAGTAAAGAATGCCTTTCAAAGTTCCAGTTTTCCAATAATAAACTTCATGGAAGGGAATAAAATAAAAATCGTACAGAAAAAACAACAGCAAAAGAAGACATGCTTTCTCCGGACAGAAGGGAGTAGCAGGAATTTCACTGTTGTTCTCCAAGAACCAGAGATAACATGAGAACTCCATTGATCCTAATGGACTCAGGACCAGCTGCGTTCTGGCCTGAACGCACCTCTTGACTAGCTAAGATTGTGCAAAACCATGATGGTCGTTCACTTTGTCAGACTAGTGTCAAAGGGTAGAGAGAAGTATCCTTTCTTGCTGAGAAAGCGCTTTGCTGGGGGTATGGAAGGCAGATGGCAGTAAAAGTCTCCTCTGCTGTGCCAACCCAGCTGGGGAAGCCCTTACAGGCAAAGCTCACTGTGACCCCTGCATACCTCTCATTCAGAGGTTGCCAGTGTAATGATACCTCCCAAATCAGTTTGCTGGTGGTTAATTATTCATGCTCAAACTGATTGGCACTACTGCAGTGGATGCCATGCGCTGCCCACCTCCAAACAGCTACAGCAGCTGTCTCCTAGAAGCCTACCAGCACTAGGATGCTGGTTATCTTCTGCGCCAGGCAAGGTGCGAGCCACACACAGGTCTTTACGAATGTCATCTTCCCCATCCTGAAGTTCTCCCTATTCTAACTAACAGGCGTTTACAGCAGAATTCTGCCACAGATCATCGCTTTTACCACAAGCTGCAGCACTGTGCTGAATGTGCAGTCGTTTTCTTCCATCTGCAGTGAGGATTTTTTAGTAGGTGCCAAGTTTGACCTGCTGTTAGCTCTTTGCTCTTCCCTCCCCCGTGGTGAACAGGAGAGCCTGCCCTTGGCATAGTCGGTCTCAATACAGTTGGGTCACCCTTTGCATGACTACTCCCCAGCTTGCTCTGCAGCTTCTCAGGAGAGAATGGAATCTGTTGTGTTGCTCTCCAGTGCCAAAATGCAAACGATGCTTGGCAGTGATGTGGTACTTTTCTTGACGCCGTTTCTAGGGACTGTGAGCCATCCACAAATAACCCTGCAACGCAACAGAGCAAATTCTGCAACGTAAAGGGCAGATGAATGGAGCACTGGATGTGATGGATATAGGATGGCACGTCAAAAGATACTACTGTTCCGTTTTGTCCACATGTAACCTTGTACTTATGTTTCTACTGACCAAAATCTGTTCTGCTGTTTGATCCAGCGGGCACAGAGCTGTTATTTGTGATCACAGAACCACGATGTAAATACGTATGTGCAGAATTACCTCGTTCAAAATCAATTTGTTGTACGTTGTTTGCAAAAAGTGTTTTTTAAAAAAGAACAATAGAAAAAGATACATGTGAAGCAGCATCAGCTTAAATAAGTCACTGCTGTCAGACTTTCTGTTCCATCGTTTGGTTGATTTCTCCCTGTACCTTAAACTCTTACCCTAGTTCTTACCCGTCTGGCCACTCCTTGGCCATTTGGTCTCTCCAGACAACTTCATTCAACCATGCTGTTTACATAATAGGATGCAATATAACACCTACGAGCAATTACTCCAAGTTTGGATTCAGAGGGACAGAAAAGGTTCAGAGAGTTCAATAAAAAGTAACTGAACTTCAGACACACACTTATTTGGCACAGTGGATCAGGAGGGAGTTGGCATGGTACCTAGCTTCAAGGGCAGGCTTTCAGCTCGGGTACAACGCTCACCAGCGGCAATTAGCTAAGCATTAGTATAATGAAAATTAAGTCAGATGCCTAATACACTGCTTAAAGTCTCTGAGGGGAAAAATGCCACTTCAGATGAAAAGTTAAATGTGACACTGATAGTGAATGCTATTATTCCATCTTCTTGATTTATTTTTCACACTTACACTAAGGGCTTGACTTGGTTATATGATGTATTTCCTGAAGCAATGGCTCGCTTAAATTAGTTATGGTGAGAGAAGTGTCAGGCAGTGAAGCAAGCATTTTTTTTTCATTAGTTAGTATTGTGCATTCCAGAATTACACTACAGATACATCAGCTGCCAAGCTCTATGAACTTTAAACAGCAACATTAAGGAAAGGCTGCAAATGAATTATTTCTTCCTAATACTGGATTGACATCAAAGGGCACATTTTCACAATATATTCAAAAATAATTGCTGGGAAGTACCAAGTGCACCAAAAAGCCACATGAGAAGAAATGAAGAGGCAGTAAGAGGCAACAGAGACAGCATCTGCACTCTTAAAGGGAAGTCTCTCTTTAGGTCCATATCGTGTGGTGACGAAGCAGACTTGGGCTTGTATCCCCCAAGCTCTGTTATAGGAAGATAGATGTGGCTGGCTTCATAAAGGATATTTAAACACAAAGGAATTCCAGCATAGCTTTCTCCCTAGTAAGTTTTGTAGGCCAGGTTCCCCAGCTGTTGGAAACTACAGCTATCCACAACAGAGGTGGAAGGTAGCTTAAAAGCTGGTAGGTATTACTGGGAGAGATGAGGCATGAAATAACCAGTCCCCAAAGTCAATAAAAGGCTGGGGTCTGGATGAGAAGAAATTTGTGGCTTTGAATCCATTATACAGTTGTGAGTGGAAACTGCCTCTGATTGCCACTGCCTCTGATCTGCTACAGCTGTACTGTAGGGGACTCAATCTTTTGGCTAGTCAAACTACACAATCACAGAACTGTTGAAGCTGTAAGAGATCTTGAGATCATCTAGTCCACCCCCCCAGCTCAAGCAGGGATACCTAGAGCAGGTTGCCCAGGACCATGTCCAGTTTGAGTATCTCCAGAGATGGAAACGCCACAACCTCTCTATGCCAGTGTTTGACCACTCTCATAGTAAAAAAGTGTCTTCTTGTGTTCAGATTGACTTTCATGGGGTCAAGGTCAATGGTTGGCTCTTGAGAACTGGAGGTTATATTCTAAAATGAAAAGACAAGGGGATGGAGTATCTACAGTAGCTTTAATCTAGCTAAGAAAGGCCCCAGTCCCAGCGATAACAGGCTGGAAAAGGTTAACGAATCCTCCAGGGACAGAGGCACACTGTCTGGTTCACTGCTGTTGTTACTTGTGCTAACTAGCTAGCTTACTCCTGCCGCAGTTACTGCTTCACTTTAGAACAGAAACCACAAACTGAGCTAGAGCTAAACACAGAGGTGAAACCATTGTTCCTTCTCTAAGATACTTAATGACAGGAGCATGGCACAGCAGATCACCTACCCTGCGGTACTGGGGGGAAAGACCCATACAAACTTACCTTCAGAGTCACGACCCAGATTCTATATTTGGACATAGATTTTAGGGTCACAGGCCCATCTATTCTCATTTCCAGGACATTATATGCTTATAACAAACAACAACTGGCCAATTTCAAGGAAAAAAAAAAATCTCACAGAGGCTAGTCCCTGAACCACAAATTGTTAAAGGTGGATGCAGTATTCTGGAAGGCTATTGCTATGTTTGCCCATATTTTTTTTTAAGTCTCTGTTTTGGCCAATGTAAGGGATAGGTAGTTTGGCTAATCCAGAGTCACCATTTTTTCCCTCATATTAGGTGGCTGTCACCTCTTTATATTGTTCATGCATAGCATGGATGCTTTTTGTTCAAGAGAAACAGGCAGCCTGATTTCTTCTTCTAGTGCACTCCTCTGGAGTGGCCCTTTTCTCTTCATGTCACATTTGTCTCTAACAGGTCTTCAAACTATAAATACTAACGTAAGTGTGCACATGTTTCTGTATGTGTTGTACGTCTCCGCACCGATAAACAGTTCACACCCACAGAGTATCTTCCCATTTCTTCATTCTTCCGTTTGTTATTGTAATCTGTTTGCCTACTCACTTTGGTTTCGTGACTCATTCTACAAGAATCTCATTTGACTTGTGGTGGCAGAAGAAAACTTCCCTGAAATAAATCAAGTGTATGAACTTCATATTTAAAGGTGTCAGGTGTTCACTGCTGAAGACTGTCCCCTCAACCAGCTGTTCATTATAGTGGTTTTCCTGTATATCAGCTTTTGTTCTCCCTCTGTTCTCAGACACTACAACCAATACACAGACCGCAGGAACGAGCGTATCTTTTTAAGATGGTTAGCAACAGGGTTTTGATCTTCAGATCAAAACCAAAATGTTCATAATGATCACGTGTTTGGCATAAAATAGGAAGAAAAGGGAAAACAGAGTTTTCAGCCTGTCACTAGCTGATATTGCTGCTTCATTTTCTAGTTAGATTCTTATTAATTTCAATGTGCCTCCTTCTAGGAGCTCACTTTGTCTATGTCTCTTCCCTTACCTTAGATTTCAGCCTACAGGCTAACTTCCATTTTTTCTTACTTTTAGGCATTTTTTCAGGCACTGGAGGTGGCACTGAGATCAACAGCTGAGGATTTCAAGTCATCTGAAACATAAGCAACTCCCAGACATTCTTCGTAGGGACTGGATTGAAAAATGGCAATAAAAAGTACTTGTTTTCACTTTCATTGAACTCTGAATGTCTACAATCCAGACATCTGAATCCGAGTTCCTCATTATAGGCTCTCTTCATACTTGGTGAACAGAAATGGGTGCTTCTAAGAGGGCAATACATCTGTTATCTTCCTTACAGTGAGATAACCTACCCCCTAAATGTGCATATTTCTTTCTTTTGACTGTAAAGAGTCTACTAATGACTAATGATTCCACCCCATGTGCTTCTGCATTCTGTACTAATCAGGTCTCTCCATCATCAGATGTTTTACATGTCTTACACTCTAAGTAAATTGCAAGACTGCTCCATCCCTGGAGATTATGATCCTATGTACAAGTAACATTTAAATACACCTCCACATATAGATCTGAGTTCATTCTCAGACCTATGTAGTTTGTCTCAATCCTTGCATATACAGATAAATATATTTTTAAAAGCCTAAACTTACCATGACCTGGTGAGAAAACATCATCCACAGAGTTTAGACATAACACTGGAATTCCTACTGACTTCAGCTTGCGACATGGGCTAGCATCTTCATAGTAATCATCAATTGTACGATAGCCAAACATGACTGAAGTGAACTGCTTATCAAATTCTCTAACAGTTCTAGCCTGAAGTACAGAATTCAAACAGAGAACTATGTCAGCATTTGGAAAACAGCATCCAGCTAAAGCATAAGTAACACTTTCACATACCTTCATCACAAGATCCATATCAAATAATTTCTCCAACATTTGTCGATGCCTAAAAAGAAAGACAGAAAAATTGGAGGGCTTGTTTTTTGTCATATAAACAGATGTAGAAGTCCTCTGCTTTACAGATACATTTATAGGAATAACTCCCTAACAAGAACATGCTTGTTTTTAATTTTCTGGAATCCAAGAGCAGAAGAACTGTTCATTCATATGCAGGCACATCCAGCAACATAGTAAAAATCTACATAAGCCATGAGAAAGATGCCAAAGATAAGAAAACTAAATATTTGGGAATACAAATACACCCTCATTTTATAAAGCAAAGGACGAACTAGTCCTTTCCATGCTTTTGCAGGCAACGCCGACTTAAAAGAATTAGTACATATACATATATACTCAAAGTCAATATGCGCATGTCTAAAAAGTTAAAAAATCCATTCACTTCAGCCATAAATATAGTAGTACGTTGGTCTTGTGCCGAGTTCCTTGAGGAGCAGGGAAATTCAGTCACATTGATGACAATGTTCCTTGCAAAGATCCTTTTGATTTCAAAACTTACAGAAGAATGCACACAGAACAGCTATGTGCAGTGTTGTTACAGCATTAATTTAGCCAATATTATTATACCTGCTGTAGATCTCATGCTAACATCCTTCCACCTTGCTAAATAGTTCAGAAGGCAACTCACCTGCTGATAGAGGATTGTAGACAAGTAGTCAAGTAATAGTTGAAAAGAAGCCAGTTTAGTGGCTTCTCCAGAGATTCTACAGATTCAAAAACATTCCAACCCGCAGAGAAAATTGCAGCTGCCATTAAAGGAGTGTCTCTGCCAGTTTTGCCCAGGTAATTTAAAAGAAGCATGCTACAAACAGAAATGAAAAACAGAAACATATATACTATCAAATTGTTCGCTTCAATTTAAAGCAAATACAACAATCAGCCACATTTTTGTCTGTTTTTCAACAGTTTCTTGTATCAACCCTACAGTTGTGCCTAATACTTCTAAAAGGTAGTCAGTGTAATCAACATGACTCATGAAGTTTGCTTTCTCTCCCTCCTGTCAGAGAGGAATCAAGTGCACTGTGTAGGACGTGGGTAGGAGTGCATTTAGAAATAAATAGAGATGTACTAGTCTTATTTATATCACTAAAAGGGAGGGCAAGGTCAAATAAATGTATCTTACTCATGGAACGGGTATTCCCAAGTTGTTAGTAAGTTTTACCGTTCTACAAGCTCTTGGTCTTCCTGATCTGATAAATCTGGTCAGTGTGTCTGACAAATGCAAGCTGCCCCTGGCACGCCTGCCTCACTATGAAGCTGTCTTTTGAGTTGAAGGTAATGCCTTTACCTCACCTCGCGCATATGAGAGAACACAGCTGTTCTTTAACACAAAGTACGTAAAAGACTGAAGTGTTGGATAATGAATAAAACTAGCAAAACAGAATTATGAGCCAAATAAATGGCTTAAGTCTTGCCTTTCTGACCAATTGCCACTTAGAGTCTCTACTGCTGATGCATAGTTGAGTTGAAAAAAGGGAAGAGTTCACCAGTACCTACCCTTCAAATGTAGAAAAATTAAAATCGAAGCAGGAATAAAAGCAAAATACTAACAGAAAAGGTCTAAACCTTAATTTACTGCCTGAGGTCCAAAAGCTTAGAACCAGCATTTTAATACCAGGCCTTTAACTCAAAACGTTACAAGTTCTACAACTTCATATAGCTTCCTGGACCACCAACATTCTGTACCTTGGCTTCATCTACCATACTTCAGGAGACAGCAACCGTTAGCAAAGGCATCATGAACCAGCCTGCCCTCACAGAGACTTTATCCCTATGCACTACCTACCAGATCATAGGACAGCAGTGCAAAAGGGAAACCAGTCTTTGGTGTCACCAAAGACTTGCCAGTTGGTAGGAACCAGCAGGAAAAGAACAGCAAACGGCACTTGGGGTGGGCTCCTGCCATCAGCTCACACAGTTGAACCCAATGAGGAAAGTCACCTGTGAGTGACACATATCGGAGTTAGGTAGCATATGTTCCTTGTCACCCACAGAAGAGGAGGAACCTGTGAGTCACCAGACTATATACTGCAAGGCCATTGAACCATAAACCAATGAAAAAAAGTTGCAGTAGTAGAAGCAGCCACTTCTCTAACAGAATTCACAGAATATATGTGGTAGAGAGATGGTTTAGGAATCTTCATGTTAGAAAACAAAGTCCCTTTCCAAAATAATACATACTGAAGATCAGTAGAACAAGTGGGCTTTCATTTACACCTTTGTGAAGTACATGTTTATTTTTCTTCTTAATTCGGCAAATATTTCCTATATAGATTAACTGGCTATTCAGAAAATTTTGAAAAGGGACAGATAATAAAAACTATTGTAAGATTAAGACAAGTGGATGATTTTCCCAATATGCCCCTGGTGAGATCTCTGCTCCTGCTTAATTTTAAACATGCAAGTGCTCCAATTAATTTTGAAGCATGGAAACAGTCCCCACGTGGATGATTAAAGACTATTCCAGTTTTCTGTTCAATTAAGCATATGCTTTCTCTTTTTGGCTCAGGACTTAAAAAACATATTGGAAGAGGAAGGTGGAACATCTTGCCTAAAATTGCCCAGTGGTGGTGGTGAGGTAACAGCCAGGAACATAACACAGATCCCCTGTGCCATACTAACAGACTTCACCACTATTTAGGATACCGTAACTAGGTTAAGCCAAGGACAGAAATGACAGTAAGGGCTGAACTGGAGTTTTGTACCAGCCCCAGAACAGCTAGCTTCTACTGCACCTTCAGCCCTGAAAATGTAGTTCTTCACCTACTCCACCCTGGCCCTCTTAATTCTAGTGTAATGGTGCACCACACATGAAACTACCCATGAAGGACTACTGTGCTTTAAATCCTTATCTCGTCGTTGAAACAAGCCTCTACTGCAGATGCTTCTTTGGCTTTCACCATTTCCAAGGAAACAAGTTTTTGCAATACATCACGTTATTTCATGTTTTGCATGCAAAAAAGTCTGAGCTAGGGAGAGATAGCATGCCAAGTGAGATAAGAGCCAACAGGCTTGCTAACCTTGTGAAAAAGAGTTTTAAACTAGGCTTGTAAAGGGATGGAGAACAAAGCCTGAAGAGAAGCGGAGGCTTGGCAGGCCCTGATGAAGCACCCAAGGGATAGCATAATGGGGGAGGCTCTCACACTTCCCTGAGAAAGCAGCATGACTGCAGATCATCTCGTGTGCTGGCACATGCATGAACACAAAGAATGGGAAAAATAGGAGAAATTAGAAGTCTGTGTGTACGGAACAAGTTTATTGGATCACAGGGACATGGAGGACTATGCAGACAAGACTATGTCATGATGGATGCAAACAGACTCTTCATGAAGGCCTTGAAGACAAGGAGGATGCTTTGCACCTTAGACAAAGAAGCCATTTAAATGCACAGAACTTTTCCCTGGTGCATGTTAAAGCCAATTCAGAGCTAATAGGTCAGAAACAGGTAGGAGGCTAACAAAGGGGATGTCATGGTGGGTACCTGCTATAGAACTCCTGATCAAGAGGAGGAATTAGAGAATCCAAGTCTTTGGACAGCTAAAAGAAACTTCATAACCACCAGGCACAGGGAACTGTAACCATCCCAACATCAATTGCCACAGCAAAGCACAAGCAGACCAGATTTCTGGAGAGCATTGATGACAATCTTTTGATACACAACCAATGACCCAAATAGGGAAAATGTTCTATGGATCTGCTACTCACATGTAAGACAGAATGTGTCAGGTATGAGAAGGTGCAGAACAGTCTTGGCCGCTGAGATTATTTCATAGTGGATTTTTAAGATCAAAAGTGAGTGGGGAAGGTAAGCAGCAGAATTACAATACTGGAGAGAGTTGGCTTTAATTTGGTCAGGGATCTGGTTGGCAGGATCCCATGTGAGATGGCCTTGATGGGCAAAGGGGTCTGGGAGAACTCTTTGACCTTAAGGATAACTGAACATAAAGCACAAGTGCGGTACATTCTGATGTGCAGGAAGTTGAGCAAGAGTGGCAGAAGACCATATGGAGGAACAAAAAACTCCTGAGTTCATTCAAGAAGGAAGTACCCTGAAGGTGGAAGGGGTTGGGCTGCCTGGGAGAAACAGTCATTGCCCAAGCATGCAGTTATGACAACTAAAGTTCAGCTGGAGCTGGAACTAGCAAAGGATATGCAGGACAACAAGAAAAAGGTTTCTGCAACAAGAAAGGCTTCTGTAAGTACATTGATACAAAAAAAGGCTCAGAACAAACAACATCGACTCCTTTCCCCTCATCAGTGAAGCCAGTCGTCTCATCATAGAAGACAATCAGATCACTTGGGCATGCTTTGTTCTTGATAAATCCAGTCACCTTCTTATCCTTCATACGCTTGGAAATGGCTTCCAGAGGCTCTTCCCAAGGAAGTGAAGATAGGCTGAGCAGCTTTTATTCCCTCCTGGGACCACTATTCAACAAAGCAGGGAATCTAGGGACAAAAGATTTGTAAAAAAGCAGAGCCTACCTGTCTCCTCTGCCTTTAGTGCTGAGGTCTGTTCTCAGGCCTAATAGGTCCCTGTGCCTAGTGGCAGAAGTATGGGAGAATGAAGTTCTACTCATGGCAGAGGAAGATCAAGTTAAGCCCTGGTTATGCAAACTAGGCATAGACATGTCAATGGGACCAGGTGAGGTGCACCAAAGCTCCAGAGAGAGGCAGCCAATGTCATTATGAGACTGCTCTCTACAACTTCCAAAAGGTTGCAACAACGGTGGGATATTCCTGATCCCTGGAAAAAAAGGCACCCATCTACAAGAATGGCAAGGAAGAGGAAATACAGGCTGGTCAGCCTAACCCCAGCACTTTGAGAATATCCTCTGGAAGCCATTTCCAAGCACGTAAAGCTAAAGAAGGTGACTGCTAACAGCCAGCATCGATTTACCAAGGACAAAGCATGCCTGAGCAACCTCTAAGCCTTCTATGATGAGCTGACTGCCTTCGTTGATTAGGGGAAAGATGTGGATTTTGCCTTCAGCAAGGCTTTTGACAGTCTTCCATGGTCTCCATGTAGCCACACTGGAGCGACATGGTTTGAATAGATGACCTGCAACATGCGCGGAAAACTGACTAGACCACTAGACTCAGAGAGTTTTGATCAGGACCTTTTGATCGGAGTTTTGATCAGTCCAACTGGAGTGGTTGGACCAGATATTAGTAGTGTTCCTCAGGGATCAATAATGGGGCCAATACTGTGCAACATCTTCATTAACTGGATGATGAGATGGAACACACCCTTAGTAAGCCCGCAGGTCAAATTGTGGGGAGTGGCTGGTGAACAGGAAGACAGGGCTGCCATTCTAAGGGACCTCCACAGGCTGGAGAAACAGTCTGGCACAAACCTCATGAAGTTCAACAAAAGCAAAAGCGAAGTCCTGCACCTAGGACAGCACCTAGGACAGATTAATGACTGGACAGAGAGCAGCTGAAAAAGACCTGTGCAAACAGAACATGACTCAGCAAGGTACCCTTGCAGCAATGAAGACAGCTAATGACATGCTGTGCTTTGTTAGTAAGAGCAAAACAAGCAGGTCTAAGGAAATCATTATTTCCCTGTATTTGGCACTTATGAGATTGTGTCTGGAGTACTGTGCCCAAGTTTGGGCTTCACAGCCAGATAGACACTGACATACTGGAGAGATTCATATGCCTTCATACTGAAGACTCCAGCAAAATCCCAGCAAAACAAATGGAAAAAGATTGGCCTGATTTAAAAAGCTTCCAAGATACTTATTTATGTGATTATCAATAACTATATTGCTTGGACAAATCTGTATTTATCCCAAAGCTCCAACAAGTCGTTAGTAGATTAATGTCAATATACCAGGCTATATCTGCCCACCCTCCATTAAATTTATCAGAAAGAAGGGAAGTCTCAGGAAGTTGCCACTGTGTCTGCAGTATTTCTAATGGAAGTTCTGCTCTCCTACAATTTTCGTTAAAGAGGCTGTCTGAACATTTCTCCTAGCTTCTAGCAGGGATTTTTCTAAGAAACTGTGCTATCATTGTCTGTTCTAGCTGTGCTTTCTGGAGAGAAGCCAGAAGACAGCAAGTCTTAATACCACATGCTATATCAATCCATACTGGTTTCAACAACAATACTGCTTCTTGAATCTAAGCCAGACAGAGCAGATATCCACATCTCTTCCAGCTTTACCTACCCACACACTGCAGAACCCAAACAGAGTGAAGATAAATCTTGTCATTTCCAGAGGTTGCTAAGAAACATGACATGTTAGCTCTAGTTCCTATTTTTTTATCCCCGTTCCAAAGACAGCCTCCATAGTTTCCAAAGATTGTATTGCCCGCTGGTTTGGCTGTCAATCTGTCTGTCAGTGTCTCCTGTCTTTCTCCACCCCCCTCAACTTTTGAATGTTGGCCAATTTTAACCTTCCCTGACACAGAGCTAAAAGCCTCAAAGATATGAAGTTTCTAAAAGTCTTCTGAATATTGACTGTTGGAGACAGACACAAGTTAGTTGCAGTTCAGTAAGTAATGCAAATATTGCAGAGTAATAATTTACAATCAGGCTACAATAGTCTTATTTTATGATCATAGTTAAGCTGAGACTTGTGTTACATAGTACCTTACCCTCCCATAGAAACACCGGCTGCCATGAACGGAGCTGAGGGGTGCAAGTTGTGTACGTGATGAATAACGGTCTCTAAATCCTCTGTGTTAGCTGCACAGTAAGTCCTTGGTGTCTGTAAGGAGTCAGAGGGAAAAATGCCATCGTAAGCTCTTGTATTATCCTTTAAGGACAAAGCAAACTGAACAGTGGATCATTTATATAACAAGATAAATTTAGCATTTATTGTGAAGCTGAGCTAAATGGCAAATATAAACTCAGAGCATTTCACAAGGAGGTGGAGGAAGGGGTTATACTTGTTATCATTACAAAATAAAACAGGTGACAAATATCTTCAGTATCTGCAACCACCAGGTCATTAGATGAAATCTGAACACACAGCCACAAGCTAAACTAGATAGAACTAGATCAGAACTAAATAGGCACCAATATTTTTAAAGTACCCTGAGGAAATGAAAACACATCATAAAGGCTGCAATTTACAGAAAAGGAAGCTTTAATGACAATGTTACCATCTTCACGCACATTCAAACGCAAAAGAAAACATTAGATTTCAAGTTCTGTCAGCTAGCATTTGAAAAGTAGCCAATATTTAGATTCTACACACAAGCAAATAAATAAATAAATTCACCAATGCTATTTACCTAATTTACTAAAATACTCTATTAACTAAAGAACTAAAGCAATGAAACGCCCGTATTATCCCTTCTCTATCTACCATCACCGTCTCTTCAATCTTTAATTGGGACTCCGAATGACTTCCACTGGCATCACTGGGATTTGGGTAACCCCTTCCCTGCTTACCCGAAGGATAAACACAGCTTTTGAGCCTCACCTGCACAGACAACTGCTACAGGCTGCAGTCTGGAGGACTATCTGGAGCAGTATAAGGGAGATAAGTCTTTTTAGGTACAGTAAGAATCACAGTAAAGTAAGTTTTTTTCTAATGCTGTTCTCTAGCTTTCATGTACGGCACAAGAGAGCTTTTAGCTATAGAGTTGCTACTAAACATGTTGGTGACCTTGACTAAACTATAGGTAGTGGCTGGCCTGCCAACATTCAGTATAAACATTAAAACTAAATATAAAAATACTTAATTATGAGTTAATTGAACTTATTTGTTGCCTGAAGCAACAACGGTTTTTAATTATTTTTTTTTAATTCCTTTCAGTTAAACAGCCTGGATATTTGTGGACAATTGTAACAAGTTTAATTAGATGAAACTAATTATTTAAAATGCATTTAACAAGAATATTGAAATGAAGTCAAAGATTAAAAAAAAAAAAAGGAAAGAAAAGTTAAATCTGGATAATTAAAACTGAGGACATTCTTAATTTCCATTTATGTTGCATTTCCAGTTCTCATTCACATAAATCACTCTTCACTGTTTTGCACCCTATTAATTATAAACAGTGTGAATGTGTTTTATTTTAATTAAGTTGTCAAGTTTATAAGGAAAAATAAATTATTTTTGGTAACTAGGTTCTAATGTATTCTAAGTGAAAGCGTATTTGATTAAAAGTGCATAAAACTAGAGATACGTTCCATTTTCATTCCAGTTAAATCCTGACACTTTAATGTCTATCTGTCTACTCCTTGTATGAAGATATTTTAAAACACCATCTTAGCTCACACTGGCTGTGGTCAATCTAGTACCTGGTTATTCCATAACAATAATGCACAGTAACTTTCAATAACAAATGAGAACCGCATTTTAAAACTAATTCTTTAAATAGCTACTATTTGGTGTAAATTTGAATCTATCTTTAAAGACACTAGAAAAAAATATACTTGCATGAGTAATTTCTACTGTGGTGCTCAACTAAGCTCCAAACTCATTAACTAGGGATTTTACATTAAAATGTGGAAACCTCTTTGCAGAAAATGTGATAATTTCAGCTGGTTTGCTTCACAGTAAGATCTTATAAAGCTTAAAGATGTAAATCCGATTACAGTAAAATACACACAATGTATCCAAACAAGAGATCTTTTCTCTTAACAATTCAGAAATTCCTCAATGAGGACTTTGTGTGTCACAAAACTGCTTTGTAGATCCATCTCCAAAAGTATGCAGAGAACTACTCTTAACATGGCAATATTTGCATTGAAATGCTTTATCTGATTATGGGAAAACATTCTGAGCTTTTTAAAGTTTGAAACCAGGGGATTAAAAAATGCAAAACAATACCAAGTATTATGCACATTCATTCCAGCTGCAGAACTGTCAACAAAACGCATATGAAGAAACAAAGCTTATTCAGCAATATTTCATCATGCCTTGTCCCTAGCTGCAGGCAACATTTAGCTTCAAGACTTTGTCATTTGTGGAATTGCCAGTTATTTCTGAGCAAACATGATATGTCTGTTCCAAACACAAAAGATGTCTTTTGTAGCTGAGTTTGTGTCATAATTGCTGAGAAAAATGCAAGAACACATTTAACTTTTAGGATATGCTGTCCATAAAAATCTGATTCGTTAATTCAATAACACATAATACGGATCAATTTTAATGGCACAACTTTTTAACCGTATCAAAATCTAGTTTAAACTCATATTGGCAACTGAGAAAGTAATTACGACTGCTTATATTTGGATTTGTATGTTCACTCAATGAAATTTTCTCCCATTGTTTTAACAGAATTTCTTCAATGTGTGCATTTTAGACTCTATAGTGTTTCTGGAAAGAGAAGTATAAGAATTGTTCATTTTAATGTTACACATATTAATAATTTAAATGATTTCCTAAAATGAAATGTTCATAAAAATTGTGTGCTGATCAGTTGACCTCTTTGAGTTTTAAAATAAAAGAGTAATATTGGCACATGATTGATCTACAAGATGACTAGACTCTCTTCTCTGCATTTTCAACAAATGCTGTGAGTTTCTCTCATTTAAATCCAGCCATACAAATAAACAGGAATGATTCCATATATACCGCTTACAAGTGAGAGATGTTTATCTTAGAAATCATCCTTACCAAAAGATCCTCACCGGCAATTCCTCGATTGTTGAAAACCACACATCTAAAAATTGAGACAGTAAATTCAATTACACATTGTTCATTCCACTAAAAAAAAATAACTTATACACACAAAAAAATGCAAAAGCATAAAGAAAAACGAGGCAGTTCTGTGAGTAAGTTCAGCACATAAATATTTACAGTCCTACAGATCCCTCAAGTCTGACCTGTGTGAACAACCTTCATACAGAATGGAGTTCACTGCAGTCAGCGGGGCTCTACATGAGCTCTGTGATTTGCCGGTCGAGGTCGGATTGCAGGATGAGAGCCCCGGGGTTTACCTGAAGACGTACATACACCTTGTTCTGCCTGCACCTTGAGCTGGCCAAATATGAGCCGTAAGCTCTGCCAGCGCAGGGCTGAGCCTAAAGCAGTGCTCTGAAAGAGAACATCGGGGACCTGTGTGTAGACATCCTCCACGGCTACGTAATTGTGTTAAATAGCAAGAAATGAGCCAAATCAAAATTATAATGACAGCTGCATCTAAGTTGCAGGTTCTTGGGGACGGGATGTTTTTTGTCTGGTATCGCAGAAGTTTCTGTTCTCTCTATGCTGGTGGGAGTCTCTGAATTTTCTAGCAGTATTACCGTGATTTAAGGATCTATGCTTTCCTAATAAATCTTACTTTTCTATTACTCTTCTACCATCTCACTGTAATAATTCTGTTAAATAATATATACATCTTTTAGATGGGTTAAAGGCATGAAAAATTACTTATTTCAGTATTTTTCTCAAATGTTGCTGTTTAAAACCAAAAAGATAGCTTTCTGTTGAAATCTGATCTAAAGCTCTCCTTTTTAATGCTATACTTTCTTTTCTTAGGTGACCAAATGCAGGTATTTCTTTCAGGAATACTTAAAAAATTAATAGCAAGAAGTTGCTGATTTGAGGGCTTTCCTCCTCTGATATTTTTTACTGGTAAGTTTTAAAGTGATTTTAAAAGTACTTTAAACAGTTAAAGTGCTACTTTACTTTCATAATTTAGTAAAGCAGTTATCCAAAACTCCAAACAGAGAAGAGGTAGCCAGACATGTAGATAAAAGCTCATTTATACATATTTGATGAACTTATTATAGTCAGTATCAGAAGCCAATCTGCAAAGACAAAATGTAATATTCCAAATACAGATCCTGGAACAATGACAACTTATTTTAAAGCACAGCAGCAGCAACATGATTACATAAAGGAATCTACTCATCGACTAATCCACTTATTTTACCCAACTCTGACCAGAAGCCTTAATAACAAAACTAAATTAAGCAGTGACAATTAAGAGCTGACAAACCTCTTCCTTAATCAGCACCAGTAAGAGTAGGCTAGCTCTCCTCTCTGCACTCACGAATTTGAGGCTGCTGAATCAAGCAATTTTGGCATTCAGCAGCTGACCTCCTCCGAGGCCTGCTGCCAGCAACCCATCCACACGAGTCTTCTTGGAGCTGAATACAAACCCCTTCTCTAGAAAGTGTAAAGGTAACACAAATACTGATATTATAATTTAAGAAGCAGCAGCAAAGGCCTGTGCAGACTCAGCTTGCTTCCACTGCAATCTCTGGGGCACATCTATAGATACTAAAACAGCCCTTCTGAATGTATTGCCTGTTACCTAATTCTATTATTATTATTACTAATAATGCTTTCTTACATAAACTAATGTCTTTAGATCTCATTTGGCTTAGGAAGGCATCTTATACATATACATACTTACATTTGATCTTATTAGAAAAAGCAAAATACTAGCAATGAAATACAACAGCACCTATATCCCAGCGTTTCGCTTTGATGGATCATGTGAAGAATGTAGGATTCCTTGCTCGTTCCTGTCAGGCCAGGCAATAACAGGACAGTGGGTCTTGTGCTGGCATCCGGATAATATAAGCTGTCATTATTATCAAACCAATCCAACGAAATCTGTCCTCCATCTGCTGTTTTAATGAGCTCACTGAAAGGCACATTTCAAGACAACACTGTTCAGATTGAAAAATACATGCATACCATTAAGAGTGCTTACAGGGTACAAATTACCAGGTATGAATTCTGCATTTTTAATTATGTGTGAATACTCAAAGTGCCACCTAACTAGGTAAGTTTGCATATTTACCATTAAGAAAGAATCACACCTACAGCTGACATGAGTTACCACAGTCAATTTGTGGAGTAATTCCCGTTCACAGTAGATGAAGAACTGGTCTTTCATGAATTGATGCTGATATACTGGAAGCTTGTGACTAATGGGATTTTTGGCATTGCCTTCTATTTTATATAGACTGCAGACTTCCTTTGGATCTTCTGAGAATCTTTTGATAGTACACTGGGCAATGCGGTAAACCTTTAGCACATTTTTTTCTCTTTATCCGAAGAAGCAGCATGTATAATGGATGGCACTTTGTTACATTTTAAACATGCAGAACGCAGACACACACTACTGTATCTTTCACCCTGTATCTCCACAAACTTCGCTAGAATGCACTCTTAAACCGTATATCTTCAGAATGCAACAAATATTATAATATCTCAAGAAGCTAAGCATGCATTAAACAACGGCAAGAAGGTTTCATTCTTTTTTTTAGAAACATACAGCATCTTCCCTTTTCCTGGCAATGAAGACATTGTATGAGAGAGTTGGTGTAGGAACTACCAAAATATAATCCTACCTTGCATTTGATTTTTCATTTGAAAATCTTGATAGCACCTACGCCAGATTTAAAAGCTCATCAGCCTTGTTGGATTCATTAGCTCAGCTTTGCCCTTTTCCAGTAACGGGAAGTAGATGTAATGCTGGTGTGTACTGCCAACACAATCTCAAATGGCGCAAAATAAGCATTGCCCCATGTTTCTTCCCTCACAAACCTTGAAATAGCGAGTATACAAGAAGGGCTAGAAAAAGTAGACATGGCCATACCACTGAAATGTTTCCTAGTTACTAAAACTAAGGGAAGCTGCTAAATGCTAAATCTATTCTACCATGCAAACAGAGCTGAAACAACTTGTGCTGCATCCAGGTTCCGGCACATAAGAGTACTTCTCCTTAGGTCTTGTGCCAAATGCCTCGTTTGCCAGACTAAGTCTCATTTCTGTGTGAGAGAGATCAGCTGAGGACAAACAATAAATACAAGTTTTTTCTCCTCTTAGTATTCAGGCATCAAAGAACACAACATAAACCTCACAGGTAAAAGTTAGTCTGAAAATCGAAGAAATTTTATATATTCAAAACAAGGCTGAATGTGGCCATGCTATGGTTAAGGTAGAACATGTTGATTCAATGGACAGATACAGTGATTGCATGACCTTTGTAAAACGATGGCATTCAAACACCAGAATATTCAATACCCCAGATGACTGCGCTGCCATCCAGAGGGACCTCAGGAGGCTGGAGAAATGGGCTGACAGGAACTTCATGAAGTCGACTGAGGGGAAGGGCAAAGTCCTGCACCTTGGAAGGAACAAGCCCATGCACCAGTATAGGCTGGGGGCTGGCTGGCTGGAAAGCAGCTTGGCAGAAAGGGACCTGGGGGTCCTGGTGGACACCATGTTGAATATGAGCCAGTAATGCACCCTCGCAGGAAAGAAGGCCAACAGCCTCCTGGGCTGCATTAGGAGGAGTGTTGCCAGCAGGTTGAGGAGGTGATCCTTCCTCTCTGTTCGGCGCTGGTGAGGCCACACCTGGAGTACTGCATCCAGTTCTTGGCTGCCCAGTACAAGGGAGACATGGACATACTGGAGAGAGTCCAGCAAAGACAATGAAGGGACCAGAGCATCTCTGCTATGAGGAAGGGCTGAGAGAGCTCGGACTGCTCAGCTTGGAGAAGAGAAGGCTCAGGGGGATCTTATCAATGTGTTTAAATCCCTGAAGGGAGGGTGCAAAGAGGACAGAGCCAGGCTCTTGTCAGTGGTGCCCAGTGACAGGACCAGAGGCAATGGGCACAGAATGAAACCCAGGATGTTCCCTTTGAACATCAGGAAACACTTTTTCACTGTGAGGGTGACTGAGCACCGGTACAGCTTGCCCAGTGATGCTGTGGAGTCGCCATCCTTAAGGATATTCAAAAGCCATCTGGGCATGGTCTGGGGCAACTGGCTCTGGGTGGCCCTGCTTGAGCAGGGGGCTGGACAAGGTGACCTCCAGAGGTCCCTTCTGACCTCAACCATTCTGTGATCCTGTGAACATATAACCACATCAGTTCCTACATGGTCACCAATATTTCAGTGCTCCAAAACTCTCTGAGCTAAAATAGGGCCATTTGGGAACCCTGACCTTTTAAACCTATCGTATATTGAATCCAGGATAGAGATGTTTCCAAGTCTATGATGGAGTTGTAAAGGCAGGCATAAAGCAAAAAAAACGGGCACAAGCTTGAGCAATGACGGTAGCTGTGACACAGTCAGAGTAAGATAACTGCTGGCTACCATATCAATCACTTTCCAGAAGAAAGGCACTTACTTCCTGTACTGTACTTGGGGTCTGGAGGTGATAAAGGGTCGCAGGAGTGTCTGCACCCGACCTTCCCAGCACCAAATTGTGGGATAGTAAGTTTCTGTCACAACGGGGCAATATTCCTCGAGAAAGCGGCAGAAACGGTCATTGCAGGCCACCAGCTGGGGTTTCTAGGAAGACAGACTAGAGTCAGGCATGGGCTTTCATATAAAACAAACCAAGAAAGAAAGAAAGACAGTAAACTGGTTTCTTTCACGTAATCATTTGCAATGCTTTTTCCTTTCACGGTAAAGATACAAGTAAACTAAAACTAAACGAAATGCCAAAATGCCCAACTGAAAAGTGAAACCCACTAAATATAATGGATTCCTTACCTATTTCCAATAACATGCTCTACTTTTATTAGCATTGTATCATTCACTGACAAGTCAAAACCACTGTGTCTCACAGCAGGCGAGAAAGATTTTGCTGAATCGATTCTCTTGCACTGCACAGAAATGGTGCTTAATCCGTGTACTTTTGAGTGTGCACCTGGAGTACCTGTTTTAACGTGGCAGGACACTCCTGCTCCCATCTCATACTACAGTACGCAACTGCATTGGTTACTCATCTCTAATAATGCCCTGCATACAGGGATTTTTCTTACAGCTTCCGTTTGTATACCAATTAACGTGGAAACTCCTGCATACTAAACATCTCAGGTTTTAGCAAACACATTTCTCAAACTTTTCTTTTGCACCAACTCTCCAACGTGCAAGCACTAATAAGACAAGAATAGATGCTTTGAAGAAAACCATTACACATACACAGCAGTAGTGGCACATCCTCCCTTCATTTTTCTCCTCTGACCAAAATCAAGTACCCGCTTCTCGATGGCTATGTTCTCAGCAGTTCTGTGAAGGACTGTGGCAACACACGTGTCTTCACCAGCCATAAATCTTTTGATATGCGTATTTTCGGTTGATTAAGCATTCAACGAGGCGCTCTCACCACGGGGCCACTTCAGATCAGATCAGGCTCACTGTATCCGAGTAATTTGCGAACGCCTAATTTATCTGTGAAACCGCTACTGATGAGAAGATGGACAAGAGTGTCCTAGCCCCCGAAACACTGTGATAGTGGCTCCAAAGGTATTGACGATGGTACCGAAGGCAGATACAAGGCAGCAAACTACTTTTATCACCTGCTCTGTTAGTAAACCGAAGGGGTCGGGTTTTTGCTGTGAAGGGAGGGCTCC